AGTGATGCTCTGTCTTCTTGGCGCTTGGGGGGGTCAACAGTGGGAGGGCTTCTAATGTCCTGGCCCCACTGGTGGACCTCCTGATGGCACCTGGTATTTTTGGCCACTGTGTGACAGTGTTGGATTGGATGGGCCCTTGGCCTGATCCAACATTGGCGTCTCTTATGTTGTTATGATTAAATAAAAGTTAATTATCCCACTTCCTCATTCTGGCTTAGTGTGTTGTGCTAGACTGGTTTTTTCCCTCCATTTTTGTTTTAGATTGTTGATAAGAACAACCGCTATAAATCCATAGATGGGACAGATGAAACTACATCAAACTGGATGAGGTGAGTCTAGCTCTTTATTCTTTTTTTTCTTCTTCTTTATTTATGCTTAGAAGACAAGGAACAAAACCTATTGTTTCTCTCTTGTGGTGATACTTCAGAAAATGACTACTGTCGAATGTTTTAGAGCATGTTTGTCATCAAACATTTTTGTATTTTCTCTTTTATTTTGGAATTTCAGAGTTTTACAGTAGGTGTGGGAGAAGAATGCAGAAAATTTAGCTGCACAGATGACCCTTTCTGAAGTGGTTATCTCTCTCTTGACTTTTTAAAAAGTTTCCAGGTTGATTTTTTTTAAAAAAATATATATTCTTTTTCTATTCTGATTTTATCCCTTTTGTCAAATGACGGGAAAACCTCGAGGTTTCTGTGTATATCTGAAAGGGAAATTTCCTTTGTAGCATTCTTTGTAGCATTGTTTTCTTTTCTGATTTGAGTTGGTGACTGGATTGCTAGTTTCAGTTGTACAGCTGAAGAAATTTACATGGTACTTCTGCAAAGAAGCTAACATCCACATTTTAAAAAGTTCCCTTACTGTAGGTTGTTTCAGAGGGTAGCCATGTTGGTCTGCAGTAGAAGAGCTGAATTCGAGTCCAGTAGCACCTTAGAGACTGACAAGATTTTTGACGTATGAGCTTTTGAGAGTCAGAGCTGATGAAGGGAGCTTTGACTCTCGAAACTCTCTCAAATGTTGTTGGTCCCTAAAGTGCTACTGGACTCGAATCTCATTCTTTTACTGTAGGTTGCTTACTGCACAAATACCCAAATTCATCTTGGCTTAAATCCCTCTGCCTCTTGTGGAGAACAAAACTAATGGGCTAAAATAGTCATGTTGATGCTTTCTCATTGCCCAAAGTGGAGTTTAAAATGAGGGGATATCCCAATATATGTATGCCCTGTTGGTTATATAACGATAGAACTCTGAAGCATCTTTATAAACCCAACAGTGGACCTACTGTGCAGAAACAGTTTGATACCCATATGCTGCTGAATCATTAATGTGTCCCGTGCAGCCCACACATCCCAAGCAGTTGGCAAAAAATATGTATTTTAAATATGACACAGTAGCATAGCTTAAGAGTTGCCTTATAAGACATTGCGAAATTATGAAAGTTCGAACAGTGTGACAGTAGCAAACTTCCTAAAAGGGGGTAGCTATTTTCACCTCACTCAAGAACGTAGACTTCAGTGACTTCTTCTTATGACTAGGACTCAGTCATGTGCACACTAACTTGTGAATAAAACTCACTGCACTTTGATCGATATCCTTCCAAATAAGCATGTGTAGGGTTGAGTTTCAAGGGCTGTTTATAACTGTTTGATATTGATACTGAATAGTAACTTGTTTAAATCCATGTAGGATATTTTTGTGTTGTGTAGTCTGTGACTTCATTGTTTTATAGAAGAATACCAAAGGAATTCAAGAACTGCTAATTGGGGGGGGGGGATTAATATGTGTATGAAACAATTCTGCTAGGCTATTTACCAGTACGTTTAGGGCAAGCCATCTTGATGCACATAGGCAATAAAAACACAGTTTGTCTGGCTGCGTCAGACCATGGTCCTCCCAGTCCTATTTTCCTCTGTGGCTAACCTGATTACTCTGGATGCTTGTGAGCGGGGCATGAAGATGATGGTCATACCCTATTTACTTGTTTGTTTCCTCCAGCATGAAGTACTCAGATTAGTGCTTCTATATATGGAAGTTCTGTATGCTACTGTTGATAACCCTACTATTTATACATTTGTCCAATCCTTTGGGTGGGAGGGAACAAAAATCTAAGCTATGACACTAAGTCCACTGTTTTGTGCGAAAGTATTTTCTTTTGTCTGTTCTAACACTCTCTTTGCCTCTGGTCTATCTCTCACAGTCTTGAATTAAAGAGGGATGAAATTAGAATTAGAGAGAACATTGACTGAGAAAACAAGAATGTCTGTTGTGAACTTTCTGACAAAGATCATTTCAATAGAATTCCGCTTATTCAGTTTTCAGATAGCCCCGAATGAGGAGCACTCATGAACAGGAAAGGATTCAAAAGCATTTTGGAAAACTGAGAAAAGTGTTAGTCTGTTTCAGTGGAGAGGGTTGATTGCATTATGGTTTGATATTTATTCCTCTCTCTTGAATCTAGATTTATTCTGCCGGTCTCTTCCAAAAGTAGCCTGGAATTTCTGATGCCTCTTTAGACCATACAGAAACTTCTTGACATGCTATAGTTTTTAAAGAATGCTGTAGTATTTAAAGAATGTATAGCCTAAAGACGTTTTAACCACCTTCTTGGGGCAATACTATATGTTATAAGGGGGATTTGCTATTGGACCTCCAAACATCATCTTAAGTTTAAACAACAGATGCTGTGGTGAGGGAGAGGATGAACACCACCCCTGCATGTGCACTCAACACACACACATAGTGGTTTTCCCATTAGGCTTGGCCCCTTGGAGCTGTTATTAGCTGTGGGGAGAGGGCAGGTATAATACAGGTATTTTATCTTTTTTCTCCTTCTGTGGCTAATAGCTCTAGTGAGGAGGAGAATTTTGGGGAGAAATAGCTCAAAGAGCAGGAGTGATTAATCCTGTTCTCCCCTTTGCACCTCAGTTCAACTCCTGTGCAAATCAAGGACCCTATGGCTGCTTCTTTAATATTAAGCATTACTTGTAATGTATAACATGGCCAGAGTCTGCTGCTTCATTGCTTTCCTGTTCCTCAAATGTTCCCCCTTCAGAGTTTGTGTCATTCTTTTTGGGCTGTCCTGTATTGCTTTCTTTCTCATAGAGAAGCGTCTACTACTTCAACTGTGAAATGGGAGGTGGGAGGTGTAGGAAGTGAAAAGCAATCAGTCCCACGAAGAGGAGAGGGAAGGTACTCCATAATCTTACAGCACTGGCTGCTTTTCCCCTCTTTGTTCCGTAAAGAAAAAGATGTAGCCAACAGCTAAGATGAACAAGAAGATCTCTAGTCTTTGTTGAAACACAATTGTCAGGTATAGTTATCTTTAGAAAGACAGTAGCATGGTAGATGTTTGTTTCTAAGGATTGTTTGGGAGGGAAGGGAGTATGGTGGTGCTGTGAACTGCCTGAGTTCAGTTTTCTTTTACATGAATGTTATAGCAAGTCTAGATGGCTTTTTGTATGCTATGTTGTGCTTCTGTACACATTTGTGTAGCATGACTTTCTGAACACAAGTGATCCAATATTGAACGCTAACACATTTTGTTCAATTTACGTGTATGTAAGAGTTATCCCATGCATGTACCCATACAATCTGTATGGACATAAACAAGCATGGCAAACATGAGCTAAACACATATTATTCTATCTTTATTTTACAAAATTTGAATCCTGCCTTTCTGCCATCATCAGGGCTACCAAGATGGCTAACAAATTAAAACATACATAATAAAACCACATCTTAAAAATATAACTAAAATACATATAAAAAAATTACAAAAATAATTAAAACATTAGGCAGGAAGGAATCACTGAAGAAATGCCAAATGAAACAACAAAAATCTTCTTCCATTTGTGAAAGATGTCAACAGAAGTGTGGGTAGAGTACCAGATATTTAGCATTTAGATCTACATAGGTTTATGGAAAGTTAACAAAACTGATGTAGATTACCAATTATATGACCGTGTGGCATTTACCTTGTGATATATTTATTCTGTGCAAACCTCCTTGTCTGTTTTTAGGAGATTCTTATACATGGATGAAAGCATTGCGTTTGTGGTCTAGTTCATATGTATTCAATTTAGTAGAAACAGTACAGTGTCCCTCATAATGTGAGCTTTGGGTTAGGAGAGGAGAATTACTAAGTGTTTTCCATATGTACATACTTTGGGAAGTCTAAGTTTGCTTCAAGAAGAAAAAGCGCCTTGACTGTATCTCACAGGGCACATCACAAGTGCTAGGGGTATCTACACAACATGAAGTGGCCCTGAAACAGCTAAAATAGAATTGAAGTTTCAGGCATGAAGCCTCTAATATGAAAGTTTCATAAAGTCTTGTGAAACTGCATGGTTGTGTGGGTGTGCTTGGTGATTTTTGAAGATGCTTTTGTCACAAGCTAATACGTCGGTTTTGAAATAAAACTGTATTACTTTGTGGCATCGCACGTTCTTGTCAGTTTTCTTTTAACTAAACCTCAGAAAAAGATGTTATTTATAGTTATCTTTGATAACAATAATAATAATAATAAGGAAATATAACTCACTGTAAAGTTCCCAGATGTAGGAAATCCACAATAGTTGTTACTTTGACTGCAATCTGAAATATACCTTCCTAGAAGAAATCCCCTCTGAATAATGTGGGACTTACTGCTGAGTAGACCTGATTAAGATTTCTCCCTGTGTGGACTATTTCCCATAGTTGGTTTTAACCAATCAAATAATTTATGTTGCATCTAGATGCCCCAGTTTTTTAAAAGTCCATTTCGTTGTAGTTTTCCAGAATTTATTTTGAATTTAAAGAGAATTTACTGCAATTGTATTGCAAAAGAATGACTGCGGATACAGTCCTAAGCACACTTACTAGGAATTAAGCCCTTGAACTGAATGGGACATTATTGTTTGTGTATTCTAGGGAGTACCTTGCATATCTCTCAGTATGAAACAACACTGCCAAATATTTCTTTTAGGTGAAAATGTTATGTTTGGTACAAACACTACATGGTGCAGGATGTGTGTTGGTTTTTCTCCAGTTACTGTTATTTTAGAAGTAAAGTATTTGCCACTTTCTAGAAAAATTGAAAGCTTGGTATGAATTGAGGAGAAGGTGAGCATGAATATACAACTGGCATGAATATACAACTGGCCAGGTTTCTTACCTGTAATGTTGGGGGTGCTTCACATTGATTTCATTTTACCCATTTGTGCTTTGTGGGATACTGGACTCAAGGAACATGACAGAACGAAAGAGGAAACCCAAGTTCTCCAAGGAGGAGCTGGACATTCTGGTCACTGAAGTGACTCGGAACGAAGCCAGGCTGTTTGGAAGGGAGACA